CGCTAAGAGTCGGTACCGCAAATTTTTATAGGTCTTGCGTTTTATGCACAGTGTTTTTATGGCTTTTTCCTGGCATAAACGTACCCATTTGACGCCGAGCAGCACGGGGCAGGCGGCGTGTCGGGTGCGTAGATCGCCGTCACCGTTGCGCTTCAGGTTGTACCTGCAATTCGGCGGTGGAATTGTCAAGTGTGATATCCTCTATCTATATAGCCGTAATTATAACACATCCACGCACCAGAAAAGCGCATCGTGGACGCTGGGGAAGAGGGCGTTGCCCAACTTGTTGAAGACGGTGGCGCCGCCGAGTTCGGGTTGCGACATCTGAAGGTATTTTGAGTTAACAGTATGGATTAAAAAAAAAATTATAATCTTGATTCTAGCGATTATTTAGGTAGCTCGACCAGTTTATTCAGTAAACTTACGTAGAATAACACCGTGGCGATGCGGTTGCCCGTGCCGAGCGACTTGAAGGCGTTCTTCTCCTCTTTCTGTAACAATACAAGATTTTCGGCTGATTTTCAGGCTATTAAAATCTTTAGGCTACATTTTTTCTCCTAAGATGCACCCTAGCGAAGTCGTAATGAGGATCGTAGTGTCCGCCCAGGCCGTAGTTGGCGATCTGCAGGTCTTCCGATGTGTCCTGGTTCAAGTTGGTCATGTCGCCGATTCTTCGGTTGACGCGGGCGACCACCTCGTGCTCGTGCTCCTTGAGCCAGGCGCTGAGGATTGAGATGATTAGGCAATTTTTAGATCGACTACCTTTTGGAGATGCGGTACGACGCATGCTCGAGCTCACCGGTGATGGCGTTTTGGACGGTCGCGCGTTTAAGCTAAAAAAATCACCAAGTTGCGGCAACTGAAAAATAAGACAATCTTAGGTAGCGTCTACTCTATTTTTTGTGTACTAAAAAATAAACCCAGAAACACACCTTCGGCTTGGCGAGCTTCCTGAATGACGGCAATCTCGCTGTCGTGGATGACCCCCTTGAAGAGGACGGCCAGCGGGTCGTGCCGGATTATTTCGACTTTGATCGGGGCCAACCGGAGGAACGGGCGGTCCATCTAGAATTGGGAGTCAGGGGTAGCGTTACGTTGCCCTACCTTCAAGTAGCAGTATAGTTTCCGTATCTGTGTGGGGGTGAGGGGGGTTTCTTCGCCTCGGCACAGGGCTTCGTAGGCGTCGCGTTCCGGAATTCCGTCCCATTCAACGCTGAAAAACAATATTTGGCGGTGGTGGCTTTCTTTTTCGTTTGTGTTTTAAGTAATAAAAAGTAGTAGAAAAAGATAGAGCGATAAGGAAGGTCAGAACCTAGGTTGAGGCATAGGCTTTGGCTTGGGCTTAGGTAAGGATTAGGCTTAGGCTCAGGCAGAGGGATAAGCTTAGGCGTAGGTTAGACTTAGGATAAGCTTAGGCTTAGACATAGACTTAGGCTTCGGCTTCGGCCTAGGCTTCGGCTTAGGCTTGGGTCAGGTTTTGGTTTGGGCTGAAGCTCACGCATAGGCTTAGGCTTCGGTCGTAGCAAAACGTACCGTTTGTTGACAACGGCAGGCAATTCTCCTTCTTTTTCCTTGCCATCCAGCTTATCCTCATACCATTTGATGTTTCCTGGAAAAGAAATAATGCTAATGCGTCTTCGAGCCTCTTCTAAAGTTTTAGAGAGCTTTTCCTCAGTTTTTAAACACAAACTACAAGCTACAAACCGCACCTCTGGCCCGAGGATGATGGGGAGCGATGGCGAATAGCCGCTTCGTCATCGAAAGAGCCCGTCTGACGTTGCCTTGTTGGTACAGCGAATACGCCAAGTATTCCAGGATCTCGGCCTCGGCGATTGAAGGCGGATGCTCGTTTTCTAGCTGGAAAAAAGGGGGTTTGAAACGGGTTTCAGCGATAATACCGACAGTTCAAATTTCTACAGCTAAAATGCCGACAGGTTCATGACGATAGTTTTCATATCGATTCCTTCTGAGCAGCTAGTTTGTCTGTCGGGATTCTGCTTGTCGGGATTATAGATGTCGGGGTTCTCCTTGTCGAGATTATTTTCGGGATTTCGGCATTTTCCCATCTGAACTGGAAATCCACGACTTACCCTGTTCAGCGCCTCCTGCATCCACATCAGGCAGTGGTAGTAATCTTTGGCGTTGTAGGCGGCGCGACCGACCTAAAAACGTGAAAATGACAACATAAGAAAAGCGGAAATCAAATAGTCAAGCTTATGCTGATAAACATCCCAAACCGACCTCGAAAATGTCGTGCGCATTCAGCCGATGGCCGACCTTCTCGCCGCGAATGTACCCGTTGGCCAGGTCGTGCGTCTCGAGCTTGTACACGTCCTTTAAGACGTCGATTAAGTTTTTATATGTTTTTTAATCCTTTATTAAAATTTACCTGGAGCCTCAAGAGCGCAATCGCCGCCCCAGACAGATCTTCCTCTCCCGGGAATTTCACCTGAAAACACGACAGTTTAAACTGCACGTTTTAAAAGGTTCTAAAAACAGGATTAATAGAGTAAAATTCTTCAAACATTCCAAAGAGGTAGCAAAGCAAAAAAATCGATCAAAGTTAGCGGCACTTACCTCATTGCCCTCCCTCCTCGCCGTGATATTCTTGATGAAGCGGTCGGCGTTGTTGTTGCGCATCGTGTCCTCGACCTTAAAACGTAAAGATACGTGGCTAAAGTTGAATTTTTAGGGTTGATTTTTTAAAAAGAACCAGAAAGGCGAAAAAAGCCGGGATTCTTGTAAAATACAATAAAAGAAAGAGGAGAAAAACAAACACAAAACCTTAGAAGGATGCATAAGTTAAAAGTTTGATCAAAATCTATATTTTCCGGAATTTTTATGGAATCTGTGAGATTCGTAAGCTTAGAATAGTTAAAAACAATTTAGAAACCCCGCCCCTTTTTATAGTAGGGAAATTGGTTCCTTAGAAAAAAGGCCCTCCCCCGATAACGCGAAAAAAACCCGGAAATTTACAATTATGATTTTGGTGAATTACTGTGGCTAAGGTTACACAAAAATTTAAATATTTCATAAGCCAAACCTGTCTCCACTCAGAGGTCAGCCTCTTGATGAGGAGGAAGGCGTTGATGGGATTGGTCACGAATTCCGGCCCGGTTTCTTGGGCCTCCGAATTTCGGGTGACGTATTCTTCGGCGAATCTGCGAATCGGGAATTATCGCAGTAAAGGTGCACACCAACTTTTTAAGATGATCCAAGCGTTCCTGCTCGGCGGCGATGTACTCCTTGACGACGGGCACGATGTTTTTCTCGGCGCCTGAAACCATGGGGGGTTTTCGCTGCATTAAAGGTTGTCATAATGATGTCAAGCCGGCATCGGTAGACGGTTGAGGTATAGAAAACGAACCCAGCATCGTCTGCAAGTCGGCTATGGCGGTGAACAAGTCGGCCTGTGCCAGGCCCAAGCACGCCAGGCATAAGAAGAGCCGCATTTGTGCTTTTCAAGCTGAAAATGTAAGACTTGAAAGGTATTAGGCGAAAACAAAACATAAGAAAACTTGGTAACGAAAGAAGGCTTCGAATCGAAATCGAAACTAGGGATTGCATAATCATAAACCTAATCCTAAGCTGAATCAAGATATGGACCTAAGCTTAAGCATGAAAAAGCCACGCCTAAGCCAGAGTCCGAGCCAAAGCCTAAGCGAAGCCTAAACCTAAACCTAAACCAAGTCCTAAGCCTAAACCGAAGGCTAAATCCTAAGCGTAAGCGTAAACCAAGGACAAGCCTAGCCCAAGACTAATACGAGGCCTAAGCCTAGGCATAATTCCAAATTAAGTCCAGGCTTAAGCCTAGGCGTCAACAGCCTAAAGCCTACGCCGAAATCTAAGCCTAAACCTAATTCCAAATCTAAGCCTAAACCTAATTCCAAATCTAAGCCTAAACCTAATTCCAAGCTAAGCCTAAACCTAATTCCAAATCTAAGCCTAAACCTAATTCCAAGCTAAGCCTAAACCTAATTCCAAATCTAAGCCTAAACCTAATTCCAAAGCCCAGCTGGGTAAATAAATTACGGCCACAACTACAAAACGCGACAAATGACGAGTGATGCGGCAAATTCGGGGGAGGAAGGAGAATGGGGACGGGAATCTGCCAGAGCAGAGAGCATTGAGGAAGCGGGACTAAACAATACATCCCACCAGCTGGCCATCCCCCATTGCCATCGGCCGGCCGGCCCTCGGGTCAACCACAACTTTTTCTGGGTGAGGAAAAACCGCTAGGTTCCCCCGGTTGCCAAGGGGCTTTTTGCAACGCACAAAAATAGACGTGTGCGCCTGGCTGTATAATTGGCCTCGCGGGGGATTTCTTACGATTGGAGGGGTGGGTTCTCATGCATTAACGGGGGGGGAGGCAACCTATAAATTAACTAAATTTTCGTATAACCTTGGCCACAAAAAAAATTTGCCAAAACATAATCAAAAAATTTGTCACTTACGCAATATCGGGGGGAGGGGCTACAACTTTTTCCAAGCATCATATTTTTCGAATACACATATGGGAAATGTTCGAAATGGGTTTTGCCATTTTAACGTAAAAATTTGCACATTTAAATTTTAAAAGATACAAAAAACTTCTTTTTTGACGAAAGTTTTGACTAATAAATGTCCCTAAGTATTTTTTATTGTTTTTCCACTTTAAATATAATTAGATCTTATTACAAATACCAATAAAATATTTGCTATTACATGCAAAACCTAGGAAAATTTCGGTTCCCGATAATGCACCAGAACCGAAATGATAAACAATAAAAATTCCACCACAAAAACTACAAAAAAAATCTACATTTATATCCATTTTGCACCAAGTTACGATAGATTTTCACGCCAAAAAGGACGACAAGTGCTACACAATACATTTTAGCTGTCTTCTCGCTCAAATCAAAACCTAAAAACGACGTCAAAAGCTATATTTTGTCTTTCACGTCGATATTTTGGAGATGCAGAGCCTGGCGGAATTGTTTAGTTTTTAGAGGAGCTTGAAAGGTCAAAAATCCAGCTTCCACCGCATAGCAGGAAAATGTACGGAAAGGAGTTCCAAGTGGAGCTCGAGGGATAGAGAATGGGAGGGACAAGGGGAGAGCGAGAGAGACAGAGAGAAACAGAGAGAGGCAGAGAGAGCTGCAGCTGGAACAGGCGGACCTCCACGCAGTCTCGGGCTCCAGACCGGTCAGGATGCCCCCCACATATCACCCCCGATCTCCCGCTTTCTTTCCCCCTTTTTTCTATGGAGGGCTCGATAGTGGTGGAACGGAGCTATGTGTCTGCGGAACCCGAATGTGGAACCGCATTATTCCGGACGTCCGGATATCGCGGGTAGGGTAGGTTGCGGAAAGTACAGAGTAGTACGCAGTACACCTTGAAAGATTCAAGGTATCTCAAAAAGCACGTATTATCGGTCCCGAGTACTTTACAATACCGATTACACCGTAAGGTTTTGAGGGCCTAAATGCTTTACAGTCAGCTTCTAGCGCCTTGTCGGACCGGTCACGGTAGCACAGAAGCACAATAAAGCACCGGTGAGCCGAGCCTAACCATCAATTTTTATATGGGCAGCTGGTGAGAGAGAGAGGGAGCGAGAGTGAGAGAGAGACAGGGGGTGGAGCCAATGATGAAATCGGAAAAGGTTCTGTACGTGAAGTGCCTTGGTGAGCATGACCGGGAAGTGGAAAGGAGGAGGAGGGAGAATGGTATCTGGAGAATGAGAGAGAGAGAGACAACTAGCAAACAACATTGGAATTGCATCACGAAGCCCAGGAAATTTCCATTTAGACGTTTTCTTCATTTTTTTTAAGATGCGAATCAGCTCAAAATGAGCTCGTAACCATCTTGTGCGGCACAAAATTGCAAATTACAAAATCTTAGGCTAGTTATGAGTCGTCTTAAGGGTATCTGTGGGTTCTAAAGCCCCTAAAACCCGGCAAAACCGGTACTGGACTGTTAGCGGGGGGGGGGTGGCCATCGGGAAACTAATTTTTGTTTTTGCGTTTATACATACCTGTAAATAAAAATCGTGCATTTTTTAATGTTTTTTGGTAGTTTTTTGGCTGCTAGAAAGTTCGAAAAAAATTTAGGCGTTCTAAAGTTCGAAATTTGGTCTTTTTATTCAAAAAGTCAAAAATTTCAAAAAAATGCATCAGTTTTTAGGTTTTATGGTGCATTTTGTGTCTAAACACTGTCTAAAGAGCTATAAAATGGTTAATATTGAGTACCCACTAACATCTCAGTACCAAAAACCCGTGAAAAACCGTTAAAAAAGTAACTACCCTGCGATCCAAATGGGCCGATGACCCAAGGCGATTGCGAGTGTGTGATGGTGGTGTGGATATGCCCTGGGGGGTATTTGGTAGAGGTTAGGAAGGAGTGTGACCCCCTGCTGCTCCTTCTCCTCCTCCCCTCCGCCGTCAGGGTGTATCCGCCCGTAGCCACCCCCCTACAATACACGCTCCCTCGCCGCCAGCACGCATCTTGGCGCCCTGCACGCCCTGCTCGTGCTCCTCGCGCTTCCCTTACACACAATGTCTCAGCCTCTCTTCCACCCCGCCTCGTTGAGCGGACCGGCCCCCTCGCAGCCACCACTCCCAAATAGACAAAAACTGTCGGGCAGCCATCACGGCCGGTAGAAGCTTCTGGAAGGACGGTGAGGGGAGCAGGACACAGCCGGAACAACCCAATTTCTGGGGAATTTTTTGGGACTGCCAGTTAGCGGTTAGCGCGGGGGGGCGGGAATAATTTTTATTTTTCGGCCTTTACCTAAATTTTTGCGGTAATAGTTTGTAAGGTATTATTTCATACCGTTTATAGTTGTTTCTGATTGATATAAATTTAGAAAAATAATTGCTTCAATAAATTTGACATTATAGGGCAAGCGCTCCGATACTTTTTTCGCTATTTCTATATAATCGTAGGTAGTTACAAATGCTTCTTAAAGGTTCTTGGGCATTATCGGGGGATCAAATTGCTTTGCTTCAGTCTTCAGGTTTCAACAAAAATGGTGGAGTTGAGGGGCTTCTAAACTGTGTTTACTAGTCTAAAACGCAAAAAATTACAAAATATCGCGGTTTTCCCATGTTGTCTTCCGAACCGCGCGGCCATGCTGCCCCGAGGCGGGGGTGGGGGGGGCAATTGCCGGATGGATGGCCTTCTCTTTCTCCCAGTCAACCTGCCCGATCCATCGCTTTTCACACCGGCCCCGTTTTCGCGGAGCCTTTGAAACATTTTGGCGGGTTGAAGCGAGGTGACGCCCACGTGGTCCTGTACTGATCCGATTTTGAGAACGTCGGATTAGGGTTGAGCGAGAGCGAGAGAGAGAGAGAGCGAGAGAATAGCCTCATGAAGAGAGCCGTTTCTAAGTAGAGACAGATGGGCGGGTCGCTCGTCAGAAGAGTGACTTTCTTTCGAAAGCTGGGCCCGAAGCGACCCCTTAGCCAGTTTCGGCCCGAAACTCTTTACTGGACCCGGGCAAACAATATGTTATCAAAAAAATTCTAATCTGAGAAAGCAAAAACTATGCTTGACCAGAAGCCCCAATAATAGTATTTTATGTATGAATTTCAAATTTACCCGTATCTATATACTTAGAAATTCTCAAAAATTTGTCAAAAAATCGGACTAATCTGGCCGCGGTGAGAATACATCAAATAGGGGAGCCTACAAATAAAACATACCCAGAACAAAACGTGAACGGATCCCCACCACCGACGTACCAAAGTAGTCAACTAACTCCTTACAAAAACGAACATGCTCACTTCACATCATCCTTGAGTTGAACCTAATATCAAGGCAAGATGGCGGGGCACTTGTTGATTCTGCCGTTGAGGTCCACGATAACCATGCCGGGACCGTGGTCGTCGATGAGTTCCCACCCGCAGTTTTCTGCGTGATTGATCATTATGGCGAATCGAACGATAACCTAAATCAAACCGATGGAACCGTCCAGTCAAAAGTACCTTCGACGCTGGCTTGATGAACAGTCCGCGTTTCTAAAAATTTGCTCAAAAGAAAGGAATAGGAGGCAAGAGCAGAGCAGGGAAAGAGAACGCTTTGATTCTAGAAAGAAAAAAAAGTCCGAAAAGAGCAAATTTGCGCCGTACGGAAAAGAGCAAGAAAAAAGCGAATCCACTTCTAAAGCAAAGATAAAAGTATATTTTCAAAGTGGGAGAAATAAATCAGAAAAGCGATCGCATGCAGAAGCGGCGTAAGAATATTTTCCAAGAAGTCGAAACGAGGCGCTCAATATATGGCCAAAGCTCCGAACTTGCCAAGATATTACCTTACTATCAGCTACATTGCCGGTCCCGCTCCATACAAGCACAATTCTTCTCGTCATCCAGATCCTCGTGTTCTTCTTCTGCTTCCCCTCATCCGCCAATATCTAAAAAACGTAAAGCGGCGAAGTATTTTGTCTACGACTAACCGCAATTTTCACTGGCATCACATTTCGGTGGTTCGCGGCGCATTGAGATGGCAAGGTGGGGATCTGAAAAGGATTGTATAGGCAAGGATTAGGGGAAATTATTTCGAAAATGGAAAAAGACGCAAGCATATGGAGAAAGTGGGCCATGGCAAGAAAAGAAACGAAACTGAATGCACAACCAAAACCAAGAGCATTTTGGAATTTCGGAATCGAGAATCAACTATAATAATTTTCTTGACGCGTCCGTCTGTCCGTCTGTGTGAAGCCGAATTCAACTCGAAGGGGAAAGGAGCTAGAGCTTAGCTCTCTTCGGATTCGGATAGAGCGTGGTCAGAAACCCCCAAACTGATAAAAAAATTACGAAAAAGTTTTAGTTTAAATTATTAAAATTAACTTTGAAAGTTTTTTCCTTAGTAAAAGGGGTGGGGGACGGAGGTTGGCATGATTTTCGCATAGTGAGCCAGGTCGCGCGCGTTTCGTGGATGAAAATTTTCACGCGGGATTTCATTTCTTTTTTTTCTCTCATTCCATCCGGTCGGTCGTCATTTTTGTTTTTTAAGGGGATTTCGCCTAGGGTAGGTATCGAAAGCCATCAGGGAGGTATTTAGGTAGTTTTTGAAGGGGATTTCAGCCATGGGGGGTATCTGAAGCCATCAACTATAATAATTTTCTTGACGCGTCCGTCTGTCCGTCTGTGTGAGGCCGAATTCAACTCGAAGGGGAAAGGAGCTAGAGCTTAGCTCTCTTCGGATTCGGATAGAGCGCCGTCAGAAACCCCCAAACTGATAAAAAAATTATGAAAGAGTTTTAGTTTAAATTATTAAAATTAACTTTGAAAGTGGCGCCTTAATAAAACGAGTGGGGGCCCCTCTCCCCGGGAGGCCACGCCCCCTTTCTCTTCGCCCCTCTTCCCCAAGGCCCTTCCCGCGCCCAGATGCCTTTTTGAGTTACTTTAATACTTTTAATACTTTTTAATTATGTTAATTAATTATTTAAATTATTTAAAGTATCTAAAGCCATCAGGAAGGTATTGAGGTAGTTTTGAAGGATTTCAGCCATGGGGGGTATCTAGCCATCAGGAAGGATTTAGGTAGTTTTGAAGGGGATTTCAGCCATGGGGGGTATCTGAACCATCAGGGAGGTATCTAAGTAGTTTTTGAAGGATTTCAGCCATGGGGGTATCTGAAGCCATCAGGGAGGTATCTAAGTAGTTTTTGAAGGATTTCAGCCATGGGGGGTATCTGAAGCCATCAGGAGGTATCTAAGTAGTTTTTTGAAGGATTTCAGCCATGGGGGTATCTGAAGCCATCAGGAGGTATCTAAGTATTTTTGAAGGATTTCAGCCATGGGGGGTATCTGAAGCCATCAGGAAGGTATTTAGGTAGTTTTTTGAAGGGATTTCAGCCATGGGGGTATCTGAAGCCATCAGGAAGGTATTTAGGTAGTTTTTGAAGGGGATTTCAGCCATGGGGGGGATCTGAAGCCATCAGGAAGGTATTTAGGTAGTTTTTGAAGGGGATTTCAGCCATGGGGGGTATCTGAAGCCACAGGAAGGATTTAGGTAGTTTTTGAAGGATTTCAGCCATGGGGGTATCTGAAGCCATCAGGAGGTATCTAAGTAGTTTTTTGAAGGGGATTTCAGCCATGGGGGTATCTGAAGCCATCGGGAAGGGATTTAGGTAGTTTTTGAAGGGGATTTCAGCCATGGGGGGTATCTGAAGCCATCGGGAAGGTAGCTATGTTTTTGTGGGGGGTTGGCTAGAGGAGGTATCTGAAGCCATCAGTGTAGTTATTGCCATGAAGGCATCAGCGTAAGGTAGGGATTAAATGTGGTGGTGTAGAATATGGAGGGTGGCCGAAGTCCAGCCGATTCAGTCGCGAAGCGGCTGTAATCGGCTGGTCAACTATAATAATTTTCTTGACGCGTCTGTCCGTCCGTCCGTCCGAAGCCGAATTCAACTCGAAGGGGAAAGAGCAGAGCTTAGCTCTCTTCGGATTCGGATGAGGTGGTCAGAAACCCCAAACTGATAAAAAATTATGAAAAAGTTTTAGTTTAAATTATTAAAATTAACTTTGAAAGTTTTTTCCTTAGTAAAAGGGGTGGGGGACGGAGGTTGGGCTGATTTTGGACATAGTGAGCCAGGTCGCGCGCGTTTCGTGGATGAAAATTTTCACGGGGATTTCATTTCTTTTTTGCTCTCATTCCATCCGGTCGGTCGTTATTTTTGTTTTTTTTAAGGGGATTTCAGCCAAGGGGGGTATCTAAAGCCATCAGGAAGGTATTTAGGTAGTTTCTGAGGGGGATTTCAGCCATGGGGGGTATCTGAAGCCATCAGGAAGGTATTTAGGTAGTTTCTGAAGGGGATTTCAGCCATGGGGGGTATCTGAAGCCATCAGGAAGGTATTTAGGTAGTTTTTGAAGGGGATTTCAGCCATGGGGGGTATCTGAAGCCATCAGGAAGGTATTTAGGTAGTTTTTGAAGGATTTCAGCCATGGGGGGTATCTGAAGCCATCAGGAAGGTATTTAGGTAGTTTCTGAAGGGGATTTCAGCCATGGGGGGTATCTGAAGCCATCAGGAGGAGGTGGGAAAGGATGTGGTGGAGTGGGACATGTAGGGTAGCCCGAAGGCCAGATGGTTGCAGTCGCGAAGCGACTGTAACCATCTGGTTTGCTAATAAAAACGCGCGTGCTTTGTATCGTTTTGTAGATTAAAGGGATGCCGACGGCATAGTCAATCGATTACGCGCGGAAAAGAAAATGTCTCTGCGCCTCTCCCCAGGGCGAGCTCTCTCCCCTGTTGGCTACTTGCCAATTTGTTGATGAGGGCCGATCGACACATGCCGTCGGCAGCCCTTTAATGGCTAAAGGGAGATCTATAGGGTGGCTTGTGAATATTTGCCGCGCCCCCAAGATAGCTTTTAAAAAGCTAATTCTAGTGGTTTAGACATTACAAATAAGTGCGGGCAGACTGTCTGGACTCTCGCCTCTCTCCGTACTCTTTTCGAAAGTTGCTCAAATGTCGTTGCTGAAATGTCATGGTCCCTTTCTAGTGGCTACGCGTCGCTCCTTTACACTTTAGACACTGATGAAAATTTTCACCCCACCGGTTCTCCGGGATTTCGATTCTCGCTCCGTTCTGTCTTTTATTTTCCTTTTTTCCCTTGCTTCTTTGCTTCCAGTTTTCTTAGTTCTTAGTTTAGTCTTCTGAGTGTACCCGTTTTTTAACTTCTTCTTAGTTTACACGTTTTTAAAGGGTACAGCTACACTCATATGCTATTGACGCCAGTGAAGCGCGCGGCGGACGGGCTCTTTCACTTTTTTCGCTTTTTTCACTATGTCAAAAAATGAAGAACCACTATATAGTTCACTTTTCATAAGCCGTTTTACGTGTTACGTCCTTGGTGCATTGCTATAGGTGATGTCCACGTGACCCCGGCTTCTGCCAGCGGCCTCTTCATGCCTCATATGTCTAAATTTTTCTAACATCCGTTGAACTTCTGATTTCAATCCGGCCATTCATCTTTTTTTTTCCAGGTAACTCGACATGCAGCTGTCGACGCCCGCTCTAAACTCCCACCGCTCGCGCTGGCAAGAGCGTCGTCAACCTCAATGGCGGAATCAACAAGTGCGCCGTCATCTCGCCCCGATATGATGTTCAACTGAAGGACCTTGAGAAGTAAGTGGTTTCAGTTCTTCCGGCCTGTTCCTTAGGTTTGGTTATTGTGTAGTGATTGATCGCTTGTCGCATTTTGTTCGTGAGCCCACCGCGTGTTCGTGGTTGCGAAGCTTTTCCCGAATCGGGTTGTCAGCGATCTTTCGATTAGTTTAGCAATACTTCGGGATAAACCGTAGCGCTTTTTCCTATGGTCAGGCCTCGAATCTCTTTCGATGTTTCTTTATTTACATTTAGTTTTCAGGTACACCACAGCGCTACCCCCTCACTGCAAGCTGGTCATCTCGTGCTCACCACGGTCAAGGCGTCGCGGGCCACGAGGAATCCAACAAGACCGCTTGGGAGGCAAAATTCTCGGATTCTTCTTCTAATTCTTTTTGTGGTAATGAATCGTTTTGACCGCGCCAGGCAGAAAGCTTTCTGTAACTGGCGGCCTCTTAGCACACAACAGTAATCCCAAACAGTTTATTTTAGAATTGAAATCCGCAGGACACAGAAGGCCAATAACAACACACGATAACAACAGCTGGGGGACGGAATTGCCCAAGGATGGTTTGGGAGGGGCGCGGCGGAAAACAATATTAAGATAGATACGGAATACAAATATATTGGGGTAGGGGGGAATACCGACCAGATAGAGAGAGATTTCATAACGGGTTGGGAGAGATATTGCGAGACCGTAGAGAAATGCTCTTTAGAATTATCATTGGATCCATGTAGAAAAGGGAGGTTGAGCTGGTGGAGCTGGCCGGTGTCGGGAGTTAGCCGATCATCTTCGGGTGTTGTTGGGGGCTTAGGGCGAATGTCGCTGGGCGTCGACGATCACGCCGCTCCTCTGAGAAAGTTCGTGTAGAATATGGAAAATTTATTGCATTACTCGGTGCTAGAGTTTAGGCCACTCTGCTTCACCTACTTGCTTTCTAGCTTAAGCCCAGACTTAACTTAGCGCTTTAACTGTGCTAAGCCGTTGTGACCGTGGATTCGATACGTGAGATGCACATGTGCAGAATTTCGCTGATTTCGAACCGTTTTCAAAAGTTGCGGACCCTCTAGATAAAGTTACAGCCGGTTTCCACCCCAAATGACCGAAAATACAAACTTTAAATCCTTATAAAAACTGGTGGCATTGGGATAAATACAGCACTCCTAGGGGTAAGTGCTCTTCGAGGCTACCCACGAACCCGTAGCCAAAATTCACAATTTCAAAATTGGCCATCCAGGGCATTGGTCCACCGGAAACTTTTCATGAATTTTGAGCTGCGGGTTCGTGAGGCCACAACAACCCCAGTTTAACCCACAAATTCCAAGTTTATAAGGATAAAGTAATTCGGTCATTGGTAAAGGTAACTTTATCTAGAGCCAACTTTTACGTTCGAATCACGCTGCACAAATCATAAGCGCAAGCTAAACTTAGCCAGAACTTTAAATTGCCTTACGAGGGACAAAGGCTCCAGATATACCTCGTAGTACTTTAGAAGTTCGGCCCACAACGGATCCGTGCTCAGCAGATGGCCGTTGCCGAAGATAATAAGGCCTCGCTTCGCTCGGGTGATGGCCACGTTCAGTCGGCGCGCATCATTTAGGAACCCCAGGGCATTTGAGCGGACGGTGGAAATCAGGATGAATTCCTTTTCCTTTCCCTATTCAGAGTGTTAGTCATACGAAAGATATGATACCTGAAAGGCGTCCACGTTCTGTAGTTCGACCCCATCGAAGGCGCGGTCAAGCTCGAGGTTTTTGCGCAGCAGTCTGCGCTGCGCGTCGTATGAGGTGATGATGCCGATATCGCTCGCACGATGCTGCAGCAGCAGCATCTTCACCAGACCCGCCACGAGTTCGGCCTCTCCCGGGTTTGCTGCCGACCCGTGCTCGCCCTTGACCTCGGGATGCACGTGATGTAGGAAGGCGCAGGGCATCTGGGGTCCGGCTGGCCACGTCCAAGAGGGGCTGGTGCGCTGGGCTAAAAACGTTTTAGGTTTAACACGCCGTGCTTTAAATATCAGGTCCTGGACAGATCTCACATGCGCCTTTAATCGTAAAGATGGGGGATGCGCACCTTCCGTGACGCCATTCAGCAGTTTTCCGCCGTAGAATGCTGTGCTGGGGAAGGCCGCAAGAGCAGCGTGCATTCTGTACTGGACGTTGAGCATCGTGGAGGGGTGGCCGAGCTGGAGAAGGCGCTCAAAGAGGGATGTTGCCAGCCCGCCAGCCGCTGCCTAAAACGAAAGTTAAAGTTAGCGGGTTAATTTCCCACTCTTTGGGATAAAACGACAGGGCCCAGTTGCCGATGATCGCCGACGAGGATGAGCCGTTCGATGCCTCGCATCATCGGTATCAGGAGCTCTGGCTCCGTGCCTTGAGTGGCCTCGTCGATGAGCAGGATCTTGCAGTGTAGGTCCCTGATAACCGGCGAGACGGCGCCGACGCATGTCGCACAGACGACGTCTGTCACTGCGAAGATCTCTGAGTGCACTTGACGCTCCATTCGGGAAAACTCTTTCCATTGAGCGGGGTCCAGGCCGGAGATTTCCTAAGTAAATAGTTAAAGGGTTTCGGTTAGGCTGCGAACTTTTTGAGTGCGTAGCTCGTGGAACCTCGCCATGTTGATGTTCCGCGAACGGTGGTGCTTTATCTTCTCCTCGTACCGCAGGTGCCGGAGCGGATCGGTGTCGGGGTCTCGCCTCTTCGATACAAAGCGGATAACTGTGAGGCCGGTTGCTGCGATCCGAGCAGCCAAGGTGTCGACAGCCGTGTTAGAAGGGGCACAGACCAGCACCATTTGTCCGAAAAGACGGCGCAGCTTCTGGACCAACTGTGCCGAAGTTGTAGTCTGCAAAACAGTTAGTGTTTGTGTGCCAAAGAGGGACAGATCATGCGAGAGAGAGAGAGAGAGAGAGAGAGAGAGATCGGGAGGCAGGGTGGCCTTACTTTTCCGGTCCCCGGCGGCCCCTGGATCAGCGATAGACGGTGGGTGGCCGCGAGCTGAATCGCCTGGAGCTGGCTGTCGTTCAGCGATGTTGATGCAGTTGTGGAGAAGTCATGGGGCAGCTAAACAAAATTAAGACTCGGGAAGCTGCGACCGACCTCAGTGACTTGCGTGGTCGTGGTGTTTCCTAGAATGAGCGCTTGGATTTCCGGATTCAGGGAATCAGAATCCCGGAATTGCTGAAGCGCTGCCGTCGTCCTCTTGTAAGTGGAGTCGTCGAAGAGCACGACGCAGCGCCAGTGCTTCTCTGACTCTCCCGGCGTGTAGCCGTGCTCGAGATGGATCACGACGTAGTCCGTGGCATCTGGAAAGGCATTAGTGAGCACCAAAATGTAAACCTTCCAGTGGACAGATAAATGCTTACCGACTGGAGCCTTGGTGACGATACCCTTGTCACGACGACTCAAGCAGCCGTCGACGATCTTCCCATATAACTCAAGCTGGTCGCCGATCGCCAACCGCATCCCTAAAAGGAAAGCATCATATTATAGTCCGTGCCAGGTAAACCACCCACCTAACTCATCATACAACGGCAGCTTGAAGCGTGCGCACGGCTGGTTCTCCTCGTCGTAGAACCATATCACATTGTAAACATCTTGCGCTTGAGCGGCAACCCGCGCCTCCTCTGCTTCTCGGTTCCATTCAAGCAGTCGGGTGAAACATTGCGCATATGCATCCGGAGTAGCAAATTCCCTAAAGAAGGGTTTATAGTCGACATATTTGTTCACCTTCCAGGCGTGTGCTGTTCTTCCTCTTCGCAGACAACCTTCAGCTCCGTGGATTGGTTAGGCGGGAGGTTCTGGTTGGGCCGACGATCACAGTGGGACTTGCGAGGCAGGCGAAGCTTCGACTTCGTCAGTCTAAGCAAAGGAATTATGAAAGTATCAACGTAACGAACTTTTTAACTTCAGGCTGTGTCAGCTGATGAAGCCCTTGTTGAAACTCGGCGGGTGGTTCGGGAAGTACGCTGTCCGTTGGGCTGGTCCCTTCCGTCCCACACCAATCGCACGCGTATTCGATCCGCCGGCCGCACGAGAGCAAGAACTAAATTTAGAATTTGCTTTGTACAAGTCCAGAAGTGTACCACATGATGGTGCCAATGGTGGTTATGGGCGGCGACATGTGTCTTGTCAAGAAGTCCCTTCGCTCCACAGAATGATTCATCACATTCCGTACACGTGGCGAGGAAAGATCGTACCTCGAGGCCGCAGAAACTTGAATCAGGGGTTGCTTTCGAAGAAACAAGATAAACCCAACTCTGGAAAGGAAACTCACCGGCACGGTTTTTCTCCAGGAACAGCTGCTGCTTCCTTCCAGCTAACCCGCGCCCTGGCGGGCTCGCGAGGGGGACCGGTTGCTTGGCGCTGCGGCATAGTGACGCGGTGGTGCTCGGAGTTGTCGTGGTCTTGGTTCGGCTGTCCGTGCTGGTTGCGATCGTCCGAGCCGTCGACACCATCAGGCAGCTTGCGATGGAGGGCTTCCCCCGCAGGAGCCCTGGCGAGCCCGCCAAAACATCCGGCAGGGGAGGCGTCGGCGCGGCAGTCGTCGTCGTTGTCCATCTTCTTGGTTGATTGGAGAGTGGAGGGAGGTTGGTTGTATTGGTAGTCAAAAACTTCCAGAAGTTGCTTTTATACCTACCTTCATGCGCTAATTCCCGGGAACTTCCGGTTCCGCCGGATATGCTACGGTAAGAATCAAATCATCCCGAAAGATGCAAATGGCGCATGTAAATGTTCCAAAGCGCGATAATTGGTCGTCGCCGTGACCTATGATAGACTCAAAGTTACAGACGGCGGGGGGGGACAGCGTGACAAAGAGAGAGTGAACGATTGACCTGCTCGAGCCTGATGAGCAGCAGCTCGGCCTGGCGCTCCGCGACGGGATCGGGGAGCGATCACGTTGTAGGGGAGGATGTCGGCTGAGCGGCTAGCATCTCTGCTAGCTTGCCCTTTCACAAAAAATCTCTGCTAATCTGCCCATTTCAATAAGAATCCCTACTAAGCCATCCTTCTCCTCGTACGCCACTGCAAGATAGCCGGCAGGGTGTTCAGAATTTTTTTACGAGTAATTCTAATATTACTATTATGAACAAACCAGAACCTATCTGGAACCTGTGCAATTTTTAGCGTACCAGATCGACGGCACGCTGGCACAGCTCGGTGTTGTGCCGCGTGCTTGTGGTGGGCAGGTCGCACTGGTATCAGTTCATTACACCCGCACTTATTACACCGGCACTCATTACAGCGACAGTGTATTACGCTGACAGTTGACTGCGCCGGCACTCACTACGCGGACAATTCATTACACCTCCACTCATTACGCCGACACTCATTACGCCGACGCTTACTACGCCGGCACTCAATATGCCGAAAGTTGATGACGCCGGCACTCACTACGCGGATATAGTCTGAGCAACACAATACTCATTTTTTCAGGGTTTTAGTTGTAAATTGATTTTTGACTTTGACTTTGACACAATCAGACTTTATTACTTCATCCCGCAGCCCGTGGGTCCTGAAATTTTTTTTATATAACTTTTCCATATTAAATTAATTTGTCCTTTAATTAACGTAAAGGGATCGTAAGCCTTCTAGTGATTGCCGTGAAAAAGCCCCTCCCCCCAAAATAATAGTTAAAATATCGATAATTTTTGGGAGATTAAAATCGCCCGAAAAATCCTGGAAACTGCCGAAAAATGAGTGTTTGTTTACTAATTTGTCGGCGTAATGACTGTCGATCAAGTGTGTGCCGATGTGATGACTGTCGGCGTAATGATCAGAATTCGTCGCACTCGCTGGAAAAGTTGGGGCACTCCGTTTGCTTTCTCTCTCTCTCACTCTCTCTCTCTATCTCTCGCTCTCTCACACTCTCTCTCGCTCTCTCTCGCTTTATACTACCACAGTCCAAAATACCAGCTGTTCCCGGTCTCGATGAGCCACCAGAAGCGATGTACATCTTCTCCTTTGGACACCTACAACTCAAGGGAACGGCTGCACCTATGTGGGACTATCCCCTTAACACCAAGAAACTCGCGGCTTTCATCGTCTACAACCAGCCGAGCTGGACCTCGCTGTTGAGAAGGTCGATGAACTTCTCGAAGGTGGTCGTGAAACTAAGTTGAACAGCTAATCTCGCGTCGTTCACCGTTTCTCCGCTGGATGAGCATTTTTCCCCCGGTTATCTTTTTAGGGAAATTCAAAAATATTGAATAGAAATAAATACCTGTATCAAAAATAAATGGTTTTATGTTTAGGGAGATCCGACTAAACGAGATATTTGAAATTGTTTCGATTAGAATCAAACATAGTTATTGCTTTCTGATTAGAAGGTCTTTGATAACATATTGTTTACCGGGTCCAGTAAAGAGTTTCGGGCCGAAACTGGCTAAGGGGTCGCTTCGGGCCCAGCTTTCGAAAGAAAGCCACTCTTCTGACGAGCGACCCGCCCATCTGTCTCAACTTAGAAACGACTCTATGCATGATCCTATTCTCTCTCGCTCTCTCTCTCTCTCTCTCTCTCTCTCTCTCTGTCTCTCTCTCATTTCTCTCTCTCTCTCTGATGCAAACAGTACGTTGCGGACAAGCATGGCTAAATTCTCATGCGTTTTGCCTGAAAACTGGCAGCGTGTCAAGGTTTCCGAGCGTTCAGCACCTCTTAATGCCATATATAGCCCTATATGCAAGTAGGCTTTGTCTTTTTAAATTAAAAAGACTTTTAGAAAAACCAGATGCTAAATCTTATTAGCAAGGCCGTTTGCTTGGTTTTTTTGTGTCACGATCGGACCGCCAAAAAAAGAATTCCAGCCATAATCCCGACAGCCAAAATGTGATATTTTCGGCCATTTTACCCCATAAATGGTTTTAAAATCGGGGGTTTCTGGGTGTCCGGATTTTGGCCGTCGGGATTATGGCTTTCGGGATTATGGCTGTCGGGATTATGGCTGTCGGGATTATGGCTGTCGAGATTTTGAATGTCGGGATTATGCCTGTCGGGATTTTGAATGTCGGGATATGGCTGTCGGGATTATGGCTGTCGGGATTATGGCTGTCGGGATTTGGGCTGTCGGGATTATGGCTGTCGGGATTTGGGCTGTCGGGATTTGGGCTGTCGGGATTTGGGCTGTCGGGATTATGACTGTCGAGATTTTGAATGTCGGGATTATGGCTGTCGGGATCTTGAATGTCGGGATTTTGGCGGTTTTCCGCCCAAACTTCATCAAAATTAGAAGCGCCACAACTTTTTGGATTTGAATCTACAGGGTGGGCCCAAAAAAGGTCCCTACTTTGTGGCCCTATAACTTTTGATAAAGACATAATTGACCATGCGTTACCATGCCAGAATGCTGAAATATGTCTGGAACGTCGATTCAAACCAACTTGCTTTTTTCGATTTTTGAGTACGCAACTGTACTATTGACCCTAGTTACGACCGAAAATTGTGGGTTCACGAACAGGTGGTGAGAAAATTCTGATTTTTAGATGAAAAATAGTTGAAAATAAGAAAAAGGTAATGACCAAATCTTAGAATTTTTCAAGCTCAAGTTTTTGTTTTACAAGCAAAACAATTTTTACTATTTTGCAACTTTTGCGTTTTAATTCGCAACTCGCTTCAAATTTGATGCCCATGGCTGATCTTTTGCAAATGGTGTCTCCAAATGATGATCTTTGGTACCACATCAGTTTCCACCAGATTCTATAGTATTTTCCTATTGCTTGCTAAAACGTGCCCCAGAGGGATATTGTAATTTTTGTTTTTCGCGTTTTTCTCTTGACTCTTAGCTGCTCAAAATGTTCTCATTGGTCAACAATGGTAAGCGGCCTCAATGGACCACATACGCCGGATTCTAGCCATACACCTTTAAAAGATATGCAAAAAACTGATTGTTGCATTCTGCCATGGGAATTTCGA